AAAGAGCAAATAGCTGAACCAAGTGATTTCAGAGCAGTTGAGATCCTCGGGAGCGGTGGAAGAATTAAACCAGTGTATGTGTCTCAGGAGCAGTAGTGAAACATCCCCAACAGCTCATCAGCACCCACCAGCTTTTGCCTTGGATGGCCTTTATTGCCTGTAGTTTTAATTAGTGCTCACAAGTAGATTGTATTCCTTGCTGAGAGTTTTTATTGCCAACACCTGGTAGTTTCAGCTTTTAGAAATGTTTCAAATAAATCAGTGTGGTTAGATGATGCTTTAAAGTACACTGATTGCTGTGAAACCTCAGGGTGACTCAAAGCAAGAGGTGATGGAAACTCCAGCATGGGGAAGGGGTGTTCAGCAATTCCCAGCACTGAATTCATGGTGGGTGGGCTGCTCTGTGTCCTGAGATGCCACAGTTAATTCGGGAACCTCTGGAGCTTGGCATTTCCCTCCCTCACTGCCGGTGCCAGGTGGGTGCCCACAGGTGTGTGTTGGCCTTGGGGTGTGCCATCAGCTGGACCCCACCAGCGTGGGCTCATCCTGGGATCAAACCATCCCTGTCCTAGAGAGAAATCTCTCCCAGAGAGGAAATCCGAGGAAATGGGCTCCTCTGGCTCCTGGGCATAGTTCAGCCGCGGACGTGCCTGGGGCAGCGTCTTGTCAATGATTCCTTTGTTGGAGCCGAGGGTGGCTCGGAGCTGCTCGTGATGGTCATGTGTCGCACTGGCCAGGATGGAGGAAAATACCCTTCCAGTGAAAACTCGGTGTCTGGGTCGGGCTAAACCAGTCTTAGCGGCTTACGGAAAGAGCCTCCCGTGCTTTGCTTCCTCCCGCCCCGTGTGGGTCTGGGGCATCACCTGAGCACACCCAGGTGTCAGGTGGCTCTGGCAAACCCAGTGCTGTATCAGGTAACTGCTGCTGATGCCTCCGGAGCCAGATGGGAGTGGGGTCTCCCCATGGCTCCAGGCACTGGGATACCTGGATCCTAGCTTTGGATATGCACATGGACATGGAGCGAGTGAAAACAAGGCAGGTGCCCACAGTCCTGTGGTGTGTGCCCAGGGGATGTGCCAGGTAGATGCTGGCATGGATGAGATGGTAATCTCGGGGTGGATGCGGGCTATAAATAGGAGGCTGCACCTCTCTGAGCCAGCACTGTGCTGCTTGGAAGTTGTCGCTCTGCCTGGTGTGACCTGTGGAGCTCTGGAAAAGGCTCACCTGCTTTGAAGGTAGCTTTTTCCTCAAGTGTGAGAACCTGAGCAACAGAACTTCAGAGCGAGGGATGGGCTCTGGTGAAGGAGCCCAGTGTCCCCACCTTGACTGTGAGACTGGGGAGGGCTGTGGTGTGTCAGAAAGTGTCTTCTAAATTCCCTAGGGGACACAGGAGTTCTGGGGCTGGTAGCAATTCTGTTGTTTTGCATGTTGTGAGCCACGTTTGTGAGCAACTGCCCTGGTTGCAGTTTCTGCCTGGGATGGGTCATGCTGCTCTCTGCTGCCTGCAGCAGCCCTGGTTTGGAGGAGCTGTGGCTCTGGGGTGTGATCCAGCTGTGCAGCAGCTGCAGCGTGGGCTCATACATGAGCAGCCCGACCCTGCTGGCCTCTGGATTGCTCCCAGTCAGCCTCTCCCTGCACAGCCTCTCCCAGGGGATTCCACATTTCAGCACGCCTGCATGATAGTTCCCCATTAGTTTTGCTTTCTGATGCCTTCTGATTTTGAGCTTTTAAGGTGAATCAGTTTTACACTCGGGTGCTTTGTGAAACTCACTGTAGCCTTTTTGGTTAGGGAGGAGGGTTTGGATGCAGCTGGGTCAGGGATGCCCTGCCAGGGCCAAGCTCCCAGGGAATCAGGCTCAGCTGGGGCTGCTCTGCATGGATCCACCTCCCCCTTCCCTGGCAGCATTCAGGAGCCTTCCCCAGTCACCACTCAGGCTAAGTTTAGCTGCAACCCCTGACCTTTAGGGCTGGTGGGTGTGCTGTGGCACCCGCCAGCTCGGTCTCAGCAGAAATGGAGCTGTCCTGGCTCTGTGTGTGTGTGGACTTATTTCCCCCAGTGTGTCTGCATTGAATCACCCAGGTCTGCTGCTCCTGCACCAGGTGGTCTGGGATTTTGTGGTCCTGGAGATGCTGTGGGGGCTCTGCCCATGTGGATGAGCCCTGGCTGTTGCTGTCACAGACACTGCTTGCCCTTTCCAGTGTAGGTCAGGGTGTCATGTCTTAAATTCGTCGCTTACAAATGCATGCTGAATGGCTCTTAAAAGGCCAACTGCAATCTGAGCGTGTGTTTTGGGGCAGCCCAGTGTGCTGGTGATCCGTGAGCGCTCTCTCCTCTTGGATCAGCTCTGCTGGAGGTGGTGTGCAAGCCTTGTGATCAGGGCTCAAGCTGTGCAGGAGCAGAGATGCAGCTATCTGCTCTCAGCTGAGGCAACACTTTGTCCTTTGCAGGTCTTTGAACCCCAACTGAGTCATCACCAACTTGGTTCAAGATGCCACCGGCCATCGGAGGCCCCGTGGGATACACTCCTCCTGAAGGAGGATGGGGATGGGCCGTGGTCGTCGGAGCCTTCATCTCCATTGGGTTTTCCTATGCCTTCCCTAAATCCATCACCGTGTTCTTCAAAGAGATCGAGGTCATCTTCAACGCATCCAGCAGCAAAGTCTCCTGGATCTCTTCTATCATGCTGGCTGTTATGTATGCAGGAGGTAAGTGTATGGAGGCAGCAGTTCCTGTGCTTCTGTGTCAGTACAGGATGCTCTCCTGCTGGAGCTGATGATTCCCACCTGTCTGTAGTGACAACAACCAAAACTTGGCTAAAAGTTGCAATTCTCTCCTTATATGACAGCAAAAACTCCCTTAAGGAGTTTTCTTGAAAGGAGGTTGCTCAAAAAGTTCTATTTAATGCCCAGAATGCAAAAATCAGGTTAATCTGTCCTCTGCAAAGCTGTAAGTAAAATCTTTCCGGGGAATTATGACTTGTGTAATTCTGCCCTTGTCCTTGTTACAGTAGGCTGTGGACACTGTATCTGCTCCCAGCACCCTCTTGAAGGCCAGGGAGCTGCTGTGCCATGTGTGGGAGCCCTGCTCCCAGGGACAGTTTCTTTGTAGATAAGACTGATACTTCTTTATATTCAATTTTTTTTAAACATTCAGTGAGTAGTGGGTGTATCTAGGGATCTGCCTGCAGTTTCTGGTCAGCTCCCATGGCTCAGGAGCATACTGAAGCCTCACTGGTACTGAGCAGTGCCGTAGGCAGCTTGTGTTCTTTGAGGATGGCAATGTGCATTGGAAGTACAGAGACACGAGTAGAATAAGGCAAAACCACTTAAATTAAAGCAGCTCCCCTCCCCTGTCCTTCAGAAATTGCCTTTTGAGGGCTTTTAATCCCCGAGCCATGTGCTTTCTGCCTGTCTTTAATGGGTGAGGAGGAGGCAGAACACTCTTGGTCTCCAGACCCTGGGGTCTTGTACTGCAAACACAGCGTTGTGCTGGGCTGAAAGAAACTCTTACTGGGAGTCTGCTGTTGTGGGCACTTCAGAGGCAAATGGGAGCTTGTCCCACTGCCATCCCCAGCTGGCGAGCTGCCCGCGGCCTCGCTGCGTTTGTGCATCCAAAGAAGCTGACGTCAGCTCCCGGCTGAGCACGAGGCTTTTCCTTTGGGGGAACAGGCTCTGCTTTGTCCTAGCTCAGCTAGCGAAGCGACCAGCACATTTCCCTGCTCCGATGTTATAACAAGCTTGTAAACCGTGTAACTGCCTTAATGAGACCCAATCTGGGCCATTCCTCCTCTCCTAATAGCTCAGAGCTGGTTCCTCTGGGTGCCCTGGGGGCAGCACTGCCTTGAAGTTGCCTTGCTGTAGGGATCAGAGCTCCCTCTTCCAGTCCTGAGGTTGTGGTTGTTGCCTCTGTCCCTCTCTCTCCATGCTGACGCTGTCTCTTCCTCTCCCATTGAGCTGCTGACATTAAATTTCAGCAGCTGCTGGTCTTGAATCACTTGCCCACAAGCTGGTGGCAGGGATGCTGAAGGTGCCCCAGACCTGCCTGAATGTGTTTTTTTCACCCAGAGGGTGTTTGGGCACTGGAAGAGCTCCCCAGGGCAGTGGTCACAGCCCCAAGCCTGATAGAGTTCAAGGAGCATTTGGACAATGCATATGGGGGTGATTTTTGGGTTTTCCTGTGCAGGGGCTTGATGATCCTTATGAGTCCCTTCCAGCTCAGGATATTCTGATTCATTCCTCAGTTGCTGGAGGACAGCAATGTGCTGCTGCCTCTCTTGCACCTTCCAGAGCTCCTGCAGCCTGAGCCCAGACCCCTTGCAGGGTCTGAATTGCACTGGAGCAGTCCCAGTGTGTATCCCATTCTCCCGGGTTCCCCAGGACACCTGCCTGCTTGGAGGCCAAAAAAGTAGCTCATGCTCTGGCAAAACATCCTGGGCTGTTAGAATCTCACAAAGTTGGGGCAGCTCCTGTCCTGGGCAGAGCTGGGGGTGATGGAGCAGCACATCCTGCAGCTACTTGTGCAGTCACCATCAGGGGATGTGGGTGTCATGGTCTCAAACACTCTTTTTTCACCTCCACCTTGGGATTAGGGAGGACTCTGGGTCCTTTAATGACACTTCTTTGACAGCTTGAACAATCACGATAGACCAGATTTTGGTTTGGTCCAAAATGCTTCACGTGAATCTAGAAAATAGGAGTGGGTGTGAATTATTTTCTTTAAATTAAAGAGAAAGGGGAGGGGAATTGTCTCCAGGCCACCTGGCACTTCCCAGCTGGGTGGCTTCCTGCTGGCTGTCCTTGGAGCCTGCGGCTCCCGGCTGGACCTCCCGGAGGAAAGGCCACTGCTGCCTTTAGACTCTGTCCAGAGACATCACATTTGCTGAGTTCAAGGTCCAGGTTTTGTAAAGTCCTGAGCGCTCACTGGGGCACTGTGTGAGGCTTGGGGCAATGTGGCATCTCCCAGGTGCTGCCACTTCTCATGGGAGGCCAATTCCTGGTGGCATCAGGTCAGAGCTGCTGGTACCACACCAGCTGCGTGTAGCAGGATGCCATGAGGCTGGAAACAGCCTCTGCCACTCCAAGGCTTCCGTAACCTTCTCCAGGCTTTGTTTAAACTGGGCAAAAAGGTCAAGTAGCATCCGAGAACTCATGAACAACATGTTGACAACCTGTCTGTTAATGACCAAACGAGGTCTGTTAATATTCAATGGGCGTTCATTCAGTGTATTTAAATACATTTCAGTGTCTGTAGAGCATGCTTGGCAGTATCTAATCACTGTTTGCTTTGGATTAAAGCTCCTGATAGTGAAGCACTTAAAAGGGCTATTGGGCCCTGTCTACCTTAGGGGTAGCAGTGAAAACAGAAACAAACACCCCTTCTCCTGGGGTGCTGCTGTTCCTCCCACGAGCCCTGAGGAGCTTCACCTGTGCCCATAGGTGCTGTTTCCTCACAGCTTTGCCTGGTCCTGATAAGAAGCCTCTGGCTGGAGATGGACAGTTTGCTGCTGAGACCCCAGCCCATGGTGGGTGGGTGGCCACAGGCAGAGCAGAGCCCATAGCACAGGGCAGGTGGCTACAACCCTGTCCCAAACCACTGTTCCTGGGGGCAGCTGGTGCCCAGGGAGCTCCTGTGTCAGCCCACAGATGGCAACTTGCTCCGAGAAGTCAAAGCTTTCTGTGCTCTAACCAGTTCTCACTGTTGTGGTAGGTTTATAGATTAGATATTTGGAAGAAATTCTTCCCTATGAGGCTGGTGAGGTGCTGGTTGCCCAGAGAAGCTGGGGCTGTGCCATTCCTGAGGGACCAAGGCCAGCTTGGATGGGGCTCTCAGCAACCTGTGGAAGATGTCCCTGCCCATGGCAGGGAGCTGGAACTAAATGATCTCTAAAGTCCCTTCCAACCCAAACCATTCTGTGATTCTCTTATCTCCTGTTGCCTCTGAACCTCCTGCCCTTTCCCCTTACCCCAATTTCCTCACTGGGTGAAATGTCACTGTGTGAAAGCTTGGAAGCCTCTGGCAGTAAAGCTCCAGTGTGAATCTGTCCTGTCTCTTGTGCAAAGATAACTCATGTCTGGGTGTATCTCCCTTGATTTCCCAGGTCCCATCAGCAGCATCCTGGTGAACAAGTACGGCAGTCGGCCCATCATGATCGCGGGTGGTTGTCTCTCTGGCTGTGGGCTGATTGCAGCTTCCTTCTGCAACACAGTGGAGGAGCTCTACTTCTGTGTTGGGGTTGTAGGGGGTAAGTGATGCCTCTGTCCTAATGGGGCAGTGAGAGGAGCAACTTAAACCCAGTAATTACTAGGGAATGTCTGTGAATTTGCATGAACACTGATTCATGTCACTGCCTGGGCACCTCCTCCCTAGCTGGCAGCAGGGGCCACTGCTGCTCATGCAGTTGGTGGTCAGGTGTTGGAACAGGCTGTCCAGGGCAGTGGTAGAATCATCACCCCTGGAAGTGTTCAAAAAGCCTGTGGCTGTGGCACTTGGGGACATGATTTTAGTGGTGGACCTGGTTAATGGTTGGACTCAATGTTCCAGCTTTAATGATTCCATGATTCTGAGTTGTAAATGGAGCTATGAAACCCTCAGAATTGAAACCCTTGTCCCACCAAGCCTTCTGCTGGCTTGTAGGGGTGTCTGAGCCATGAACTCTTATCTTTCTCTCCTGCAGGTCTTGGACTTGCCTTCAACTTGAACCCAGCCTTAACCATGATTGGCAAGTACTTCTTCAAGAAGCGTCCCATTGCCAACGGGCTGGCGATGGCAGGCAGTCCTGTCTTCCTCTCCACCCTGGCACCTGTCAACCAGCTCTTCTTTGGCATATTTGGCTGGCGTGGCAGCTTCCTCATCCTCGGTGGCCTTCTGCTGAACTGCTGTGTGGCTGGATCCCTGATGAGGCCCATCGGTCCCAAGCCGGATCAGCAGAAGAAAGAGGCCAGTAAGGAGGTGCTGCAGGAGGCTGGGAAGGCCGTGAAAAAGGATGATGGTGATACCAGCACAGACCTCATTGGTGGGAAGGCCAAGAAAGAGAAGAGCTCCTTCTTCCAGACAATCAACAAGTTCTTGGACCTGTCTCTGTTCACACACAGGGGCTTCCTCCTTTATCTGTCTGGCAACGTGATCATGTTCTTTGGGCTGTTCACTCCCTTGGTCTTCCTCAGCAATTATGCCAAGAGCAAGAAGATTGCTAATGAGTCTGCAGCCTTCCTGCTCTCCATCCTGGCCTTCGTGGACATGGTGGCCAGACCTTCCATGGGACTGGTGGCGAACACCAAGTGGATCAGACCCAGAGTCCAGTATTTCTTTGCCATCTCTGTGATTTACAATGGGGTTTGCCACCTCTTGGCCCCCATGTCCACCACCTATGCTGGTTTCTGCATTTATGCTGGATTCTTTGGCTTTGCCTTTGGCTGGTTGAGCTCAGTCCTGTTTGAGACCCTGATGGACCTGGTGGGAGCACAGCGGTTCTCCAGCGCCGTCGGTCTGGTGACCATCGTGGAGTGCTGCCCTGTGCTTCTGGGACCCCCTCTGCTAGGTAGGTTGTGCTGTGCCTGTGGGACTCACTTGAGGACATGGTTTAATGGTGAACACAGTGGTGCTGGGTTGATGGTTGGACTTGATGATCTTAAAGGTCTTTTCCAACCTTAATGATTTGAAGTTTCTATGATTCTGTGACTCTGGCCTTCCTGCCTGGCCTTGCTGAGTGGTGGTGGGTCCCTCTGAGCCATGGTGCTGGGACAGGGATGAGGGGAACACCTTAGCATCTGTGGGATGACCGTGGAAGTGGGGTCTGAGCCCCTGGCATGGGGAACAGGGGATATAGGGGGACAGGTCCTTGCCTGAAGCTGCGTGTGATGGGTTTGGGCTGCTCTTGGGAACATCCCCATGACCTGGAGCAACTCTGGGGGTATCTCACTAAGCTGTCCCCTCTGTCCTTCAGGGAAGCTCAATGACATGTATGGTGACTACAAGTACACATACTGGGCCTGTGGGGTCATCCTCATCGTCTCTGGGATCTACCTCTTCATCGGGATGGGCATCAACTACCGCCTGGTGGCAAAGGAGCAGAAAGCAGAGGAGAAGGCGAGGAACGAAGGGAAGGAGGAGGAGACCAATGTTGACGAGGCTGAGAAGCAGAAAGAGGCAAACAACGATGTGGCCCCCTCGCCTCAGAAGAGCGCAGAGGATGGTGTCAAAGAGGAGGAGAGCCACATGTGAGGGACCGGTCTCAATCCCGGAGTGTCGGGGAAGCGCCGCTGCCCTGGCGCGGCGGCTGGGACAGGGCTCCGCTGGCGCTGGGCGGCCGTGAGAAGTGTTTAAACCAGGTGTTCATTTTTTAATCAGGCTCTGAATTGTTTTTCCATCCGTGTTCAACAAAGGTAACAGGGCTACACACGCAGTATCCTCGTGTGTCGGGGGGCAAAGGGGGGCTTTTATAGTCTGGCTTTTTAACAGTAACATGAATGTACTAATATGTGCCTTACAGTCTTCATATCTAGCCGAATCTGGATGAGCCTTAACTCTAAACCGTGCTTTAGCTTTTGATTATGCTTAATACAGTTGTGGGGAGGGGGGGGTTGTATGCATGTGTTTTGTGGGGGGAGTTTTGTTGTTAAAAAGCCATAAAAAAAGCAGGATACTGGATTTGTTGAAGCACGATGGGCTTCAGGGCCAGCCCTGGATGAATACTGCTTCACACGCTTCTTACCGCAGGCCCTCTGCGGAGGGGGAGAGCCGGGCAAGGTGTTCCTCAGCCCCCATGCCCGGTGCCTCCTGGCTCTGTAGGTGGTCTTTAGGTATGTTTTGAAAACACTTTAGCTACTGTAGTTCTCTAAATCCCTCTTTTTGTAGCTGTGCTCTCATGGGATAGCCAGGTTGGACAAAGACTGCGGTTCATGCTGGGCAGCGTTACCCGCTCCGGGGCCGTGGCAGCTCTGGTGTGCCTGAACCCTCCATGGAGAGGGTTGGGGGTCCCCCCTGCCTCCCCACTCTGCCCTGATGGTGCCTCTTCTCAGCCCAGTGTTGGGTGATATGAAACAGGGGCTCAGATTGGGGTGCCAGATCGGCCCTGCTGTGCTGCCCCGTTCCCCCGTGGGGTTGGGTTTCCACCAGAGCATCCCACCCAGACCCTGGGCAGAGTGGTGGGGTGGGTGGAGATGGTACATCCCTGAGACAGGCCTTCTGCTTTTGCTCCTTTATCTCCTTAGAGAAACCTCTTTTACTTGCTTCTGTTCAACTGAGATCTTAAGGTGGTGGATGCCGAACCACTCACATCTAGGACATGTAAGGGGGAGGAAAGAATTTGTACGTATTTATTTTTTATTTTTTAGTGTTGGAAAATATCTCAACGTACGTGGAGCAGGTTAATGGCTCTCAAGTTCTAGTACATGTTGATCAGAATTCATGTTAAGAGGCTGAGTTTTTTCAAATAAACTTGTTTTTTTACAATTTACCCATCAAATGTTGAATTTCTTTCTTAGAATCACACTTTTATGTGCCAAATGACATAGATTTAGGGTCAGTTTTGGGGAGAGGTGAGTGGGGCTGTGGCAGAGTGGCATCTCTGCTTGCTACTCCAGCACCCTGTGGAATCTGGACCCATCCTGAGAGGGTGAGATGCTTCTTTCCCACTGTTTCAAGAGGAGGCTCTGAATGGGGTTTGGGATGACTGCAGCAGAATGTCCTCATGCACTCTGGTTTTAGAAACCTGTGAGAAACCTTCACAACTCCCTTGATTGCCAGGGGGATGGACACTCAAGTCTGAGTGGTGGACAGACTCCTGCTGTCCCTCTGTCTGTGCTGCCTCCCTCTGAGCTGAGTGAGACCACAGCTGTGTATGGGCTGAAACCAAATGAGGAGTTACATGAAGATGCTCCTGAGGGAGCTGTCCTGGGGTCCCTGGACCCCTGGCAGGATCAGGTCCTGCACTGTGGCCACTCTCCTTGTGCTCCCTTGTCTGTGAGGTGACTTTGGGTCTTGTTTTTTGTCTCAATCTCACAGAAAGCAGCCTGTATTGAGGATTTTTCCCCCCTCATACTGTAGGGTAACTTCATAAAGCCAGCAGAGTATTTTGTACAAGAGGATGTTGTACAGTGCTGAGCTGTGATACTGTAAAGCCAAGTAATTTTATTTTCTTGTGTCTGCTGCACCATAGGGATGGGCTCATGTCTCAGTAAACCACCCCTGAGGACCTGCCCTTGTTATAGCCCTGTTTTTGTGGGTACAGACATCCTTGCTGTGTGTGGGGTGGGCTCTGGTAGGGTAAAAGTCTCCCAGTCAGGTAGGGGCTGCAAGAGGGGCTGGGATGTAGCCTGAGCTCCTCTGCAGGTGTGTGCCTGATGGCACTGAGCACTGATGATGCCTGTCAAGAGGAGCATTTGTCCTCTGCAGCAAGGGATGTGGTGCTCAGCCCTGCTCTGCTGGTCCTCACCTCCCCTGGGCAATGGGAGTTGTGTCTGGGCTGATTACCACAGCTGACATGGGTGTTACTTTAGCCAGCACTGCTGGGAGAGGCTCCCACAGCCAGGGCAGGGAGCCAACCCTGCTTCTAAGGAAAAAAACTGTTTAAATAATTTCCTGCTGCTCAGACGTGGCTGGCTGGGAACACTTCAGTAGTAAATCCCGGTTGTTTTCCAAAGGTGGCCTCCATGCCCTGTCTGGAGCTGGGTGTCAGCCCTGTCCTGGCTCCAGGACCTCCTGTGGGACTGTTCCTAGGATCCAACGCTGAGGAAGTGCAGGTGAGGGAGGAAAGTGTGTGTGGGGTCGGGAGGAGAAACTTGCTCTTGCCCTGTATTGAGCTATAAACTATTAATTGCCCTGATCAGGGCAGAGCAGCACAGTCCTTGCTGTGCTGGGGCAGGGCTGGCACTGCTGCAGGGCACAGACTCTGGTCTGAGCCAGCCTCTCCTGCCAGGCAGGAGATGTCCCTGTGCCCATTCCTCCAGCACAGCTCGTGAGAGCAGCAGGGCTATATTTAGTCACGTTATTTCTGCGAGCAAAGGTATCTGCAGTGCTGAGACGTACAAGAGTTGAGCTCCCAGGGCCTCTCACTGTTACCCACCCAGAAAACAGGAGCTAAAATTAGTCCCAGGGCTGGGTGTAGCGGGTGGGAGCCCTGACTTTCTTCCTGATGATGGGTGAGTGGGTGGTGGATGCTCAAATCAGCACTTGGCACTACTGTGGGAGCTTGAGCCCTGCAGGCTGAACCCATGGGACTGCCTAACTGGAGCAGACTGGGATCTGCTGGGACAATTCCTCTGCAAAAGACCACAGGACACCCATGGGGCTGTACTTGCCTGCTCCCCAAGCAGGAGGTGTGAGCAGTGGGGAGTTGCTGCCAGCTCCCCCCGTTCTCCCCCAGGTTTCCTCTGCGTCCCGCCACGTCGCCTTCCTTCCTCCGGGGGTAGCAAAATAAAATTCCCTTCATAGCAGGCAGAATTGAGGAAATACTTGGGAACTAATTCCCGTGCAGTTTGTTTTCCCAAACATCTGAGGTCGCTGGCCAGAAATGCTCGGCAGTGGTTGGGGGGGTTTTGGGGGGCTCCCGGGGGAGCAGGGCAGGCGCTCCAGCCGCTGGTCGGGATCCACTGCCAGCTGCTGACTGAGGCTGGCTGAGGATGGGATCCAGGACAGGGCAGGCAGACCTCAGCTGCCCTCCTTCCATTCCCCTTCTTCCCTCTGCTAGGGAATTTGGGTGGAGTTGACGGCGTGACCCCTTTGGATGCAGTTGGCCACGGAGCTGATGCCACTTCTACCTTGGAGCATCCTTCATCCATCACCTCCCTGGGGGTGTCCATGTGCACCACAGCCCTCTGAGCCTATTTCCCAGGTCTGTAGGGGCAGGAATGTCCTGCTGTGGTAGAGTGAGAGGCCAGGCAACCTCATACCAGCACAGACACTCCAAAAGAGTCTAATCCTCCCCACAATGCGGCACAATCCCCTTCGCGGGGAGAGGGAGCTCGGCCGCAGAGCTCATTCATGTGACAAGCATGAGGGGATCTGGGTCCCTGCCCACTCCTGCTCCGCCCAGGGACTTTATTCAGTTTTTTTGGGAGATTTGGGTTCTGCTGAGTGTGCAGCTCTGGCCGAGCGCTCGAGGCTGCTGCTCTGCAAACAAGTGCTGTCGTTCCCAGGCGCTGGCAGGGCCGTGCTGGGAAGGGAGGGAGCTGCTGGAAAAGGACTGTCTGGCCCCTGGCTGGGAGCGCCCAGCCGGGCG